GGAGGTGCTGAGGGGGGATTTGGGGTCTCCAGGAGGATTTTGGGGGACACAAAGAGCAGTGTGAGTTTTTGGGGCTGATCCAGGTGAGTTTTTGGGATTTTTCTCACACTAATCCAGATGAGTTTTTGGGATTTTTCTGAGCCTGATCCAGGTGAGTTTTTGGGGCTGATCCAGGTGATTTTTTGGGATTTTTCTGACGCTGATCCAGGATTTTTCTTGGGCTGACCCAGATGACATTTTTGGATTTTTTCTTAGCCTCACCCACTCAAAATTCCTCTCTTTTCCTCGCGCTTCACCGAATTCCCCCCAGCACTTTCCCCACTGGACCTTTCACTATTCCCCCCACGCCAGCCCATAATTTCCCCCTTTCACCCCCTCGTTTTTCGCCCTTTCAGACCAAGAAGAGGAGGAACAACGGGCGTGCCAAGAAGGGCCGGGGGCACGTGCAGCCCATCCGCTGCACCAACTGCGCCCGCTGCGTGCCCAAGGACAAGGCCATCAAGAAATTCGTCATCAGGAACATCGTGGAGGCTGCTGCAGTCAGGGACATCTCCGAGGCCAGCGTCTTCGACTGTGAGTCTGGGGAACCCCAAAAAACCTGTCCCTGGTGGGCCCTGAAATCTGGGATTTTGGCGCATCGAATAATTCAAATTTTTCGCTCCAAAAAGTTGTTACTGTGCTTTCGAAATTAGCGGCGTTGAGCCCCCAAAACAGTGTTTCTGTCAAGCCAAAATAAAGCACTTTTCACCTCAAAAAATAGTCCTTGTCCCAGCCCAAAAAGTAGTAATTGTCATCCTCGAAAATTAGTCTGTCACCCCTAAAAAATAGTTCTTGTCACTCCCAAAGCAGTGCCACTGTAACCCCTAAAAAATAGTCCTTGTCACCCTCAAAACAGTGTCTCTGTCACCCCCAAAAATAGTCCTTGTCACCCCCAAAAATAGTCCTTGTCACCCCCAAAACAGTGTCTCTGTCACCCCTAAAAAAATAGCTTTTGTCACCCATAAAAGTGTCTGTCACCCCCAAAAATAGTTCTTGTCACCCCCAAAACAGTGTTTCTGTCAAGCCAAAACAAAGCACTTTTCACCTCAAAAAATAGTCCCTGTCCCAGCCCAAAAAGTAGTAATTGTCATCCCCAAAAAATAGTCTGTCACCCCTAAAAAATAGTTCTTGTCAGCCCCAAAATGAAGTCCTTTTTACCCCCAGAAAATAGTCCTTGTCACCCCAAAATCGGTCCCTGGTGTGCCCTGAAATCGGGGGTTTTGGTGTTTGGAGCTTGGAGTATTTTGTGCTGTTCACCCCCCAAAAAATTGTCCTTGTCTCATCCCAAAATAGTGCCTCTGTCACCCTCAGAAAATTGTCCCTCTCATCCCAAAATATTGTTCTTTTCTCACCCCAAAAAAATAGTTCTTCTCACCCCCAGTCCCAAAAACTCCAATCCCAAAAATCCCAAAAACTCACCTGGATCAGCCCCATAAACACCCCGCAGATTGACCTGGATCAGGCTCCGAAAAATCCCAAAATCTCACCTGGATCAGGCTCAGAAAAATCCCAAAAACTCACCTGGATCAGGCTCAGAAAAATCCCAAAATCTCACCTGGATCAGGCTCAGAAAAATCCCAAAAACTCACCTGGATCAGGCTCAGAAAAATCCCAAAGACCCCCTGGATCAGCCCCAAATAGTGTCCTTGTTACCCCAAAATAAAGTCCTTTTTATCCCCCAAAAATAGTCCCTGTCACCCCCAAAAAATAGTCCTTGTCTCCCCAAAAAACAGTCCTTGTCACCCCAAAAAACAGTCCTTGTTTCCCCAAAAAACAGTCCTTGTCACCCCCAAATAGCCCCTATGGCACCCCAAAATAGTGCCTGCCACCCCCAGGGTCCCTGGCTGTATTTTTGGGGTCCCTGGATATGTTTTTGGGGGTCCCCGAGTGTATTTTTTGGTGTTTTTGGGGTTCCTGGTGTGGGGTTTTTGGGGTCCCTGGATGTATTTTTGGGATCCCTGGCTGTGTTTTTTGGGGTTTTTGTTATCCCTGGATGCGTTTTTTGGGGTTTTTGGGGTCCCTGGGTGTGTTTTTTAGGGTTTTTGGAAT